ATATATATATATATATATATATATATATATATATATATATATATATATATATATATATATATATATATATATATATATTGCTGGTGTCTTTTGTCTGTCTCATAAATATGCAAGATTACAGGCATGTCTTGCTACTTCTACTTACACTTAGGTCACACTACACATACATGTACACGTTTATTTATACGCACTCATCGGAGTTTTCTTTGATTTTATCTTAATAGTTCTTGGTCTTATTACTTTTCCTTTTATATCCATGGGGAAGTGGAATAAGAATCTTTCCTCCGTAAGCCATGCGTGTTGTAAAAGTCAACTAAAATGTCGGGAACAATGGGCTAGTAACCCCTTTTCCTGTAAAGATTACTAAAAAGAATAAGAAGAAGAAAATTGTCGAATTGGGAAGTCTGAATATGCGTGGATGTTGTGCAAATGATAAGAAAGAGATGATTGTGGATGTTATGAATGAGAAGAAACTGGATGTCCTGGCTTTAATTGAAACAAAGCTGAAGGGGGTGGGAGAGTTTCAATGGAGAGGAATAAATGGGATTAGGTCAGGGGTTTCAAATAGAGTTAGAGCTAAAGAAGGAGTAGCAATAATGTTGAAGGATAAGCTATGGCAGGAAAAGAGGGACTACAAATGTATAAATTCAAGTATTATGTGGAGTAAAATAAAGATTGGATGTGAAAAGTGGGTTATAGTAAGTGTGTATGCACCTGGAGAAGAGAGAAGTGTAGAGGAGAGAGAGAGAGATTCTGGGAAATGTTGAGTGAATGCGTGGGGAGTTTTGAATCAAGTGTGAGAGTAATGATGGTTGGGGATTTCAATGCTAAAGTGGGTAAAAATGTTATGGAGGGAGTAGTAGGTAAATTTGGGGTGCCAGGGGTAAATGTAAATGGGGCGCCTTTAATTGAGCTATGTGTAGAAAGAAATTTGGTAATAAGTAATACATATTTTATGAAAAAGAGGATAAATAAATATACAAGGTATGATGTAGCACGTAATGAAAGTAGTTTGTTAGATTATGTATTGGTGGATAAAAGGTTGATGGGTAGGCTCCAGGATGTACATGTTTATAGAGGGGCAACTGATATATCGGATCATTATTTATAGTTGTAGCTACAGTTAGAGTAAGAGGTAGATGGGAAAAGAGGAAGGTGGCAACAACAAGTAAGAGGGAGGTGAAAGTGTATAAACTAAGGGAGGAAGAAGTTCGGGTGAGATATAAGCGACTATTGGCAGAAAGGTGGGCTAGTGGCAAAGATGAGTAGGGGGGGGGGGGGGTTGAAGAGGGTTGGAATAGTTTTAAAAATGCAGTATTAAAAATGTGTGGCAGAAGTTTGTGGTTATAGGAGGGTGGGGGCAGGAGGAAAGAGGAGTGACTGGTGGAATGATGAAGTAAAGGGTGTGATAAAAGAGAAAAAGGTAGCTTATGAGAGGTTTTTACAAAGCAGAAGTGTTGTAAGAAGAGCAGAGTATATGGAGAGTAAAAGAAAGGTGAAGAGAGTGGTGAGAGAGTGCAAAAGGAGAGCAGATGATAGAGTGGGAGAGGCACTGTCAAGAAATTTTAATGAAAACAAGAAAAAATTTTGGAGTGAGTTAAACAAGTTAAGAAAGCCTAGGGAAAGTATGGATTTGTCAGTTAAAAACAGAGTAGGGGAATTAGTAGATGGGGAAAGGGAGGTATTAGGTAGATGGCGAGAATATTTTGAGGAACTTTTAAATGTTGAGGAAGAAAGGGAGGTGGTAATTTCACGCACTGGCCAGGGAGGTATACCATCTTTTAGGAGTGAAGAAGTGCAGAATGTAAGTGTGATGGAGGTACGTGAGGCATTACGTAGAATGAAAGGGGGTAAAGCAGCTGGAACTGATGGGATCATGACAGAAATGTTAAAAGCAGGGGGGGATATAGTGTTGGAGTGGTTGGTACTTTTGTTTAATAAATGTATGAAAGAGGGGAAGGTACCTAGGGATTGGTGGAGAGCATGTGTAGTCCCTTTATATAAAGGGAAAGGGGACAAAAGAGATTGTAAAAATTATAGAGGAATAAGTTTACTGAGTATACCAGGAAAAGTATACGGTAGGGTTATAATTGAAAGAATTAGAGGTAAGACAGAATCTAGGATTGCGGATGAGCAGGGAGGCTTCAGAGTGGGTAGGGGATGTGTAGATCAAGTGTTTACATTGAAGCATATATGTGAACAGTATTTAGATAAAGGTAGGGAAGTTTTTATTGCATTTATGGATTTAGAAAAGGCAAATGATAGAGTGGATAGAGGAGCAATGTGGCAGATGTTGCAAGTATATGGAATAGGTGGTAAGTTACTAAATGCTGTTAAGAGTTTTTATGAGGATAGTGAGGTTCAGGTTAGGGTGTGTAGAAGAGAGGGAAAATACTTCCGGTAAAAGTAGGTCTTAGACAGGGATGTGTAATGTCACCATGGTTGTTTAATATATTTATAGATGGGGTTGTAAAAGAAGTAAATGCTAGGGTGTTTGGGAGAGGGGTGGGATTAAATTATGGGAAATCAAATTCAAAATGGGAATTGACACAGTTACTTTTTGCTGATGATACTGTGCTTATGGGAGATTCTAAAGAAAAATTGCAAAGGTTAGTGGATGAGTTTGAGAATGTGTGTAAAGGTAGAAAGTTGAAAGTGAACATAGAAGAGAGTAAGGTGATGAGGGTATCAAATGATTTAGATAAAGAAAAATTGGATATCAAATTGGGGAGGAGGAGTATGGAAGAAGTGAATGTTTTCAGATACTTGGGAGTTGACGTGTCGGCGGATGTATTTATGAAGGATGAGGTTAATCATAGAATTGATGAGGGGAAAAAAGGTGAGTGGTGCGTTGAGGTATATGTGGAGTCAAAAAACGTTATCTATGGAGGCAAAGAAGGGAATGTATGAAAGTATAGTAGTACCAACACTCTTATATGGGTGTGAAGCTTGGGTGGTAAATGCAGCAGCGAGGAGACGGTTGGAGGCAGTGGAGATGTCCTGTCTAAGGGCAATGTGTGGTGTAAATATTATGCAGAAAATTCGGAGTGTGGAAATTAGGAGAAGGTGTGGAGTTAATAAAAGCATTAGTCAGAGGGCAGAAGAGGGGTTGTTGAGGTGGTTTGGTCATTTAGAGAGAATGGATCAAAGTAGAATGACATGGAAAGCATATAAATCTATAGGGGAAGGAAGGAGGGGTAGGGGTCGTCCTCGAAAGGGTTGGAAAGAGGGGATAAAGGAGGTTTTGTGGGCGAGGGGCTTGGACTTCCAGCAAGCGTGCATGAGCGTGTTAAATAGGAGTGAATGGAGACGAATGATACTTGGGACCTGACGATCTGTTGGAGTGTGAGCAGGGTAATATTTAGTGAAGGGATTCAGGGAAACCGGTTATTTTCATATAGTCGGACTTGAGTCCTGGAAATGGGAAGTACAATGCCTGCACTTTAAAGGAGTGGTTTGGGATATTGGCAGTTTGGAGGGATATGTTGTGTATCTTTATACGTATATGCTTCTAAACTGTTGTATTCTGAGCACCTCTGCAAAAACAGTGATAATGTGTGAGTGTGGTGAGTGTTGAATGATGATGAAGTAATATATATATATATATTATATATATATATATATATATATATATTATATATATATATATATATATATATTATATATATATATATATATATATATATATATATATATATATATATATATATATATATATATTTATATATATATATATATATAATCCCCAGGTGTTGGCAAGAGGTGCGGGGTTAAAAGATAAAGAATCTAACACAAGTGGGACTTGTCACAGTTGCTCTTTGCTGATAACACTGTGCTTTTGGGAGATTCTGAAGAGAAGGTGCAGAGGTTGGTGGATGAGTTTGGTAGAGTATGTAAAAGAAGAAGAAAGTGAATATAGGAAAGAGTATGGTGATGAGGATCAAAAAAATAGATAACGAAAGAATGGATATCAGATTGAAGGGAGAGAGTATGGAGGAGGTGAATGTATTCAGATATTTAGGAGTGGACGTGTCAGCGGATGGGTCTATGAAAGATGAGGTGAATCATAGAATTAACGAGGGGGGAAAAGGTGAGTGGTGCACTGAGGAATCTGTGGAGACAAAGAACTCTGTCCATGGAAGCAAAGAGGGGAATGTGTGAGAGTATAGTTATACCAATGCTCTTATATGGGTGTGAAGCATGGGTGGTGAATGTTGCAACAAGGAGTAGGCTGGAGGCAGAGAAGTCGTGTCTGAGGGCAATGTGTGGTGTGAATATAATGCATTTATCTAACCTATTTTTAAAACTACACAACATCTTAGCTTCTATGACGGTACTCGGGAGTTTGTTCCACTCATCCACAACTTTATTACTAAATCAGTGCTTTCCTATATCCTTCCTGAATCTGAATTTTTTCCAACTATATTCAAACATAAGCATCTTGCATTGTAAATAGTCTTTAGACTATTTACAGCAAATAAGTGGATGAAGAGTAAAAGACAGTTTATTTGCGTAAAGTAGTATCTTCTACAATCGTAAGAACAATAAACGTGGACATTTCAAATTGTAAGTTGGAGACCAAATTATTGATGCTAACATTTATCCGTATTGTATTACCATAAGGCTAGTTTATAATCACAGCATTTTCTGTCTTCTCATTCTTTGCCTTGTATTATTTTTATTTATTCTGTGCCTTGTATTATTTTTATTTATTCTGTGCCTTGTATTATTTTTACCACGTAAAATTCCGAATTTAGCAGTTTGTTGAAGATGAGGGTTGTACATGGATAGTTTCTTGATGTCACATGGTGTTATCTGCCCGGGAGACGAGAAATGCTGTTTTCTAGTGACTACTTTGGGTAGCTTAATAGGTGGGACATGTAGGGTGGGTAGAACCTGTCTCGAATGGGCCAGTAGGCTGCTGTGGTGCTCTATTAGTGTTTTTTATATGTATGCAGATTCGTTAGTAACCTTTGATATTTCTTGTTTGTTGCAGAGTGCCACGAGGGAGTCATGCACAACAACCGGCGGCGCAAGAAGCGGCCCAGCTATGGCGTCCGGACGGTGGAGATCACCAAGGGCAAGAATGGCTTTGGCTTTACCATCAGTGGACAGGCACCATGCATCCTCTCATGCATCGTGCCCGGGTCACCTGCAGAGCGGGCCGGGCTGCGTCCTGGCGATTACCTTATCGCCGTCAATAGCCAGAATGTTAGCAAGGCTCCTCATGACGATGTCGCTCGTCTCATTGGCCTCTCCAAGCTCCTCAAGCTGCAGATCGCTGAGAATTACTACTCTGACAGTTCCGACGACGAGTTTGTGACGGTAAATCGACCCAAACCCAAGTATCCCAACCGGCTGAGGCACAAGAACCAGCAGACACGAGCAGAAAAGGTTGTCCGCGACTTGCAGAGTGGAGCCATCTTCAGCGAGCACACGGCCATCCACTTGGGTGAAGCTGCCCTTCTCTCTGACCGCGATGCCTGGCCTGAGTCTGCCTTCCCACCGAAGGCACCGCTCACACCCACACCAAAAGGGCTCACTGTATCTGCTTCCGTGTCCCCAGTGCCTGAAGGACTCGGAGAGAGAGATGGGGGTCCACCAGTGGCACCGTCTACGTCACCAACGCGACTGAGGCCAGATCAGATTCATCTGGTGATGGCAGAGGCACGACAGGTGACCCGCACGCCCCGGCCTGTCAAGGAGCCCCAGCACCCGCCACGGCCTAGACACGTAGTCAAGAAAAAAGATAAGTCACCCAAGGCCAAACTCAGACATCATCCACAGAACCTCCCACCTGACCCAATCCAGCAACAGCTGGCAGCACCACACCAACATCACCATCAACAGCAGCAGCAACAGCATCTTCAACAGCAGCAGCAACAGCATCTTCAGCAGCAGCAACAGCAACATCAGCAACAGCAACAGCAGCATATTCAGCAGCAGCAACAACACCTTCAACAACAACATTTGCAACAGCAGCAGCAGCAACACTTGCAACAACAACATCTCCAACAGCAACAGCATACACAACAGCAGCTCCTCCACCAACAACAGTTACATCAGCAGCAGCAGACCCAGAGACAACAGTCCCCTGTGCAACAGCAAATTCAGCCACATTCTGGCATGTGGGTGGAGCTACCCAGTGGCTCTGGAATGGAAGCATATAATGTATTAACCGAACAAGAAATTAACAAACTGCTGTATCCTACGTTAGCAGAGCTGCAACAGCAAGCAGCACCAAATGACTTGGGAGAGGCCCTATATCGTGCTGTTGTTGGTTACCTTGGCACTATTGAGATGCCTAAGGAGCCTCAGGGAGGTTCACGTCTCACTGCCATTAGAAATTGTATTCGACGGCTTCGGATCGAGAAAAAAGTCCACACCCTGGTTTTAATGTCAGTGTTTACAGAGCGTGTGGTGCTGACCAATCCTCACGGCCTTACGCTGGCACAGTACCCAGCCGAAAGAATAACTTTTTGCGGCGTGTACGCCGATGACAAGAAGTTCTTCGGCCTTGTGACTGTTCATGGTGCTTCGGGTGATGAACTTAGTGATGGCAGTCAAGACGGTGGGAGTGTTTCGTCCTCTTGTCACGTGTTTATGGTAGATCCTCGCATGGTCCAGCATTCCGATCACGCGAGGAGAGCCAAGAACTTTCGTTTGGAATGCACGTCTCACCCAGAGGCCCACCACTGCCAAGAGTTCCCGGACTCGGCAGATCCGATCTTGCATGCTATCATGAGTCTCTACCGAAATCGGGTGGGGTTCCACTTGGACACAGGTGCCCCAGGCCTGATCGACGTAGAGGCACAAATGTCGCCCCAGCACTCCAACACTTCTTCCAACTCCTCCAACTCTGACTCTGGTATCGGCTTTAGAGACGATGGTGGTCACCACTACCACCACAGCGACCGCGTTTTTGTTGTTGAAGTTGATGACAATCAGCGTATGCGAATACAAAACTTTCAGCTGGTTAGTAATCTTCGTGCCAACCTTAACGAGAACCTTCGGGCTAATTTAGAAAACCACCGAGTGAACATAGACAACCACAGAGGGAACATAGATAACCACAGGGCTCTGGACAATCACAGAGCCAATGTAGAGAACCTTAGAGGAAATATGGATAATCATAGAGCCAACTTAGACAATCTCAGGGCGAATTTAGACAATCACAGAGCGAACTCTACAGACAATTTTCGAGCTAATCTAGAGAGTCATCGGGTTCATTTGGACAACCATAGAAGCAATATAAGTGGCGGCTATGGTAACAATGTGAGTGCTACAGTGGGTGAGAGTATACCTACTAGTTTAGGGCCCTCGGTGCTACGTGCCAATATTAATGATTTTAGTTACTCGAGTGCCAATAATCTGCGTGCCATTGCAAACGACAAATTACATGTCAGTTCTAGTGACAATAGTAGTAGTAGTAAATTACTGGATAACGTGCGTGCCAATGTAAACGATCATTTAAGAGTGAGTGTGACCGACAAGGTTCTAGGTAACATAGACAACCTGCGTGTGAGCGTGAGTGACTCAAAGAGACTGAATGATCTTCGAGCTAGTCTTGCGGAGAGTCGGCAGGGGGATGGTCGCACCAGCATCACGGACGACCTACGGGCAGCACTCGAAGATGACATGCGGGCCAATCTGGTGGAGGGTCGGCTTAGTGCGGTAGACGGTCGCACCAGCATCACTGATGACATGCGCATGGCCAGGGAGAGAGGTGTCACCAAAACTCCTGTAGCTGAATGTACGGGTACTCCTGAGTCGGGTCGGCTCACTGTTAGGGCCATGCCAGACCCCGTGGGATTTGAACGATCTCCAGGGTTTTTAGCCTCTAGTGACTCTCCTATTCACGTTGCCTCTATGAGGCATTCCATGCACAAGTATCTGCAACACAAACAAGAGCATTTGGTAAAGGTGTCCCAAAAGATCAACCGGCGTGAGTCTGACACCGGTGGTATCCACCCTTTGAGTGTGCGAGCCTTTTCTCCTGCCACCACCAAGGCTCCCACACCTACTGTCACCACCGCTCAAGAAACCCTCGATCTGGAGTTATCCCTCAAACTTTCACCAAAAGTGTTTGGAGTGCCTCAGCTACCATTAGGAACAGGGTTGTCACCCTTGCGGCCGCGAGCACCATCTGAGAGGTCCTACACTCGCTCTTTGGAAGACTTACGAGACTCTTCCACCAGCGACGGCGTTAACGCTCCCTTAGGGAGTGGAGGTTGTGGGAGCAGCTTCCGCGACGGGTCTGAAAGTGACCATGGACTGGACCGACTACGCCACGTGCCTCTCACTCCCCTGGCCAGGCTCCTTCACGCCTCCGAGAACAATCTTACCCGCTATGGTCACATTTACCCTTCAGAACACCACCGAGGGGCTTTCCGTGCCGTCCAGCCGCGAACTCACCGCGAGTCCTCAACGTCTGCCCTCGGGGTGGGCGTTGTTCCTCGTATAGGTGGCCTGGTGGGAGTAGGTGTTCCACTGGACTCTGGTGACGAGCACACGGAGACGACAGAGAACACAGGAGAGCAAGAGGGCAGTCAGGACGTGCACCCACCCACACAGGATGAGTTCTCCCACGACTCTGACTCAGAACAGGTGAGTATACTCTTAAAAGGTTGAGTTTGTCTGGCCCATGTGTATGCAAGACTTGTCTTCAAGGGCAGAATTCATGTATCAGTGTCACTATGTAGGTCTCTAATAGCAGAGTTAATGCCTCAGGACAGGTGAGTACCAGTGTCTGTTAATATCTTATTATAATAACTAGTCAGATATAGTAACTGTAACAGCTCACATTATTAGGAAATTAGAATAGTCGTTTATTTATTTATATGAAGCACTAATTAAATCCACATGGATCATTCAGCGTAAATGGCGGAAGATGTTTCAGTAAGCACCACCGTCTGGAGTCCCGCACTCCATTCATTGTTCTTAACTGCACCATTGCCGTGGGATCGATGGCTACAGTTGCTTGTTGCTTCGACATTGCTATAGGACTAAGAGCACCACTGACCGGGAGCTTTATATGACAAAGATTCGTGTTAGGTCCTGTTTCCTGACGAATGTAATAACAACAGTGCTAAAGAGTTAAGGTTGGGGTGGTTGGGTGTGGAGCTCCCCCAACCGGCCCTACTTCCATCCATCAAACACACTCAAGAGACATGTATTCTACACACGTCCTTAGCAGACATTATCTCCGCTGCCTCCTCATAGTCTTAGCAAATTCTTTAATACTCGTAGAAATTTTTTTTTACCACCCGGGGTTTATTTTTAAAATTGGGTTTAACCACCAATTTCCTCCTTTTCTGCCCCCATCGAACTTCTGCCCCTTTGGCCCCTTTTCTTCCCCCTTTTTTTGGCCAATACGGGGTTTCCCCTAATTTTTGCCCCCTTTGGGGGCTTTTCCCCTTACCTTTTCCCTTAAAACGATTCCCCCCTTTACCCCACAAATCCCCCCCAAACCCTTTTCACTTTTTTCTGTTTTTTTTACTTTTCCAAAATTGGGTTAAAACTGGGTCCAACCCCAAAAGGGGCCCTCCCGTTCGGGTCCCATTTTTTGGGAAAATTTCTGTTTTTGTTTTTGGCCCCAATTCCCACTCAATTTTTTGTACTTTTTTCCATGTTTCCCCAAAATCTTTTTTCCTTTTTTGGGGTTTGTGGGTCTTGCCCCCTTTTAAGCCTTTCCCCGTAGGGGCTTCCCCTTTTAACTTCTGGGACTTTTTTGGGGTTTTGGAAACCCGGGCCCTTTTCCGGCCTCAGTTTCTTTGTGTTTTTTTTTTTGGTGTGGGGTTTTGTGTGTACTCCCTTTTGGAAACTCCCCAGGGTTTCAGGGTTGGGTTTTTGAAAAGGTGGAATGTTTTTTCTTGTTTGTGGGGGTTTGTGATTCCTTTTTTGGGTTTTTTGTGTTTGTGTGTTGTGTTTACTCCCCAGTTTTTTCCCTTTGATTGAGGTTTGGTAAGTCCTGGCCCCCCCTTTTAGGGCCGTACTCCCTCGCCGGTTTTTTCTTTGCCCCTTCCCCCTCACAATCCCCCCAATTTAATTTTCCACTTTGGGGGGGGAAAAAAATTTTCCAACCAATTTTTTTGGACCAGGGGCTGCAGCCCTGTTTTTGGGTGTTGTGTGTTGTTTTGGGGGCCCAACCAATTTGTCCACCTTTTTTTCGGGGTTTTGTGTGTTTTGTTTTTCCCCCCATGTTTGGGTTCCATGTTTTTTTTTGGTTTGCTTGTTATTTTTGTTTGGGGTTGTTTGTTTTTTTGTCCCCCCCAGTTGTCCTCCCTAGGGGTTGGGGTGGCCCCTTCCCCTTCCCCGCCCCCCTTTGGTTCCCCCCTTGGGTCTCTCCTTTTCCCTACTTTTCGTCCCCCTGCGGCTTTTGTTTTCCCCCTTTCCCTCCCCTTCGTTCCCAAAATTTCCATTTCCTGTTTTCCTCGTCTAAGTCCCCCTCCCCCCATTTCTTTTTTTTGTTTTCCCCCCCCGGTCCCCCCCCTTTTCCCCAAACCCCTGTCCCCCTTTGCCTGTGTCCCTTTTTTTCCTCCCCCCCCGGCCCTTTTCCCCTTTTCCCCTTTCCCCCCAAAGTTTTTTAAGTCTTATCCATTTCCCCCCAAAAATTTCTCTCCTGCCCCCCAGTGTGGGTCGGGTTTGTTTTCCCCTTTAAAACCTCTCATCATAGGACATACCTCTTAATTTCGGGGACTACCCCCTTTGAAAACCCCTTTGGCACTTTTCCTATTTTTTTCCTTAAACATTTTTGGCTAGGTGGGGGGTTCCAAACGGGTTTTGCCCCCTCCCTCCAATATGGGCCCCTAACGTACACAGTGAAATTTTTTTTCCCAGAACGATTCCTTTTTTAAAGAGGTCGGAATGCTTTTTCCTTAGGTTTGCTAGGCGCCCATAGGGGTGCACAGTTTTTTGGGTTGATGGGGCGTTTCAGGAGATGTGCCTTTTGGTTATACTCCCCCCAAAAATTTTTTTTCCTTGATTGTGTTTGTAGCCCTCGGGCCCCCCCTAGACTGTACCCGCCCCGCGGGTCTTCTTTCCCCTTTTCCCCAATCCTCATGATTTTTGCTTTTTGGGGGGAAATTGGCCTCCGGGACCATTTTGCGGGCCCCGGGGCCCTGCACCTTTTTCCAATCCCCCTTTTGTAGTTCTCCGGGTTTTCGATCGATTGAATTCTTCTAAATCAATTTCAGGGCTTACAAACGGGGAAAAACCTCGGAGTTTTTTTCCTTCCGTCATGTCGTTCACAAATACCAGAAACAGCACGGGGCCCCTAGGACTGACCCTTGGGACCCCGCTGGTAACAGGTGCCCCTCTAAAAAAACCTCACCCAAACCAAATTACCGCGGGCTGTCTTCCTGAAAAATTTTTCCCCTGATCCTTTGGGAAATGCCTCCCTTTTAAAATCCCCCTGCTTGGTCCTCCAGTTTTTGCACTAATCTCTTGTGTGGAAACTGTGTCAAACCCCTTTCTTGCAGTCCAAAAAAGGGGAATCCACCCCCCCTCTCTCTTTTGGCCCTTACGGCTGTAAACCATGTAATAGAACCCAGTAGGTTTGTGACACAGGATTTCCCTTCTCAAAAACCCCATGTTGTCTGCGGGTAAATGAGACTTTTCCTTTTTTCTAGATTTTTCCCAAACCATTTTTCTCCTAAATTTTTTCCATGATTTTGCATGCAATAAAAGCAGTAAACACTGGCTGTATTTTAGGGGCTTCATGTCTTTTCCCCCTTTTTTTAAAGATTTGGCCCAAACATTTTGCTGCCCCTTCCATCCTAAAGGCAATCCCCCTTTTTCAAATAGTTTTATTAAATATTTTTTTAGGGGTCCAAATAGCGCCTCTGCCCCTCTCTCGGGACCCATGGAGAGATTTTTATCGGGCCCCATTCCCTTTTGGGGTATCAAGCTCACCCCAGAAGCCTCTTCACTTCTTCCCTGTTTTGTGTACTATGTCCACCACAGGGGTGGTTTACCCCACCTCTCCGTTTTTTCTGGAGCCTTTTCTGCTCCTCTGGGGAACACTTTTTTGAATCTTTTGTTGATTTCCTCACATACTTCACGGCTTTTTTCTTGTTGTTCTCCCCCTTTCCCTTCCCCTTACCCTGATTACCTTGCCCCTTAATGGTTTGTTTCTTTCAGTCCCCCCCTTTTATAACAGTTTTCGGGTCAGTTTTTGCTTTTGTTTGCAAATTCTTTTTCATATTGATTTTGGGGCCCCCCCTTCTTATCTGTGCATTTTTCGTTTTTTGGTTTAAAAACGACGGCTCTCCTTATTCTCCTGGGCCCTTTTCCCTTTCTTAAATTTTTTCCCAAACCCCTTTAGCACACTTTTTTTTCCCCCCCCTTTCCATTTTTTGAGTAAACCCAGGGGCTCCCTTTGGGCTTTTTCATTTTTCCCGGGAAACCCTTTGGGGTAAAAACCTTTCCCAGCCCCCTTTTGCACTTTTGTTGCAACATATTCCATCACCCCTTAAACGGGTTTCCCGCCAGTTTTTTCTTCCCACTAAACCCCTCATTCGGGAAAATTTCCCCCTTTCCTTTTGTAGTCCCCTTTCCTTTTTTTTTGGTTTAAATTTGCCCCGGGCCCTTTCCTTTTCCCCCCTCCATTTGGGTACCTACTGTGTATTTGAACTCAAAACCACATAAATCGCAGGCCCCCAAAAGGGTTTTCCCATAGTAAAGTCCTCAATATTTTCACTACCCCAAGGGGAAACTAATCCGTCTTGCGGGTTTTCATCCTCTCCCCCCTCTCCTTTTGTAGGGGGTCCCTTACGTTTTTTGGTACTTTGAATTTTTCCCAAAACCAACCCCCATCATTTTAGCCCCCATGAATTTTTCCCCCCAGGGGGCTCCAAGTTCCCCCCATTCGTTCCCTTTGGGGTTAAAGTCACCCCATGATCAGTAGCTTTGCCCTGCATGAAAGAGCCTTTTTGGCCACTCCCAACCTTGGTGCCCAACCTTTCGCTCTATTGCTCTATCATACTTTTGGCCTTGGCCTCCTGTTTGTTTTTTGGGGGGGGTTTATACATTACTCCCAATTTAATCACCTTGGGACCACCAGAGTGAACCCTTCCCCTTTTAATCACTTTTTTCCCCAAACTTTCTCCTCCTCCAGCCATAAAAATTTCCTTGGGTTTTTTTTAAAACAGCAATGCCACTCTCCCCGCCCCCTTTCCTTCTGCCCTTTTCTCGGGGAATCGGTATCCCGCGGAAAAAGAGGGGAAAACTTTTTTACCCATACCTGAAAGTTTGGGTTTTTCTGTGATCCTATGATGTCTGGTGAGGCCCTCTTTGACTCTTTCGGGGGCCACTCCTCCCACTTGTTTGTTTTCCAATCGGGCGTTTGTGTACCATCCCTTTCATTTTTCCTTTTCCAAACATTTGGGGTTTTTGGGGGGCCTGTGGGGGTGGGGCCCTTTGGAAAGCTTACTGGGGGATTCTTTTGGTTGGGGTTGGGGGGAAAAGCTGGGGGTATGGTTTTGTATTGTGTTTTTGAAATGGTTGATGGGTTGTGGGGTTCTGAGGATAGTTGTGTGTGTGCTTCCCCCTTGCTGCTTTTGTTCTGCTCTGACACCTCTGCGGGGTTTTTTTTCTTGCCCCTTTTT